CCTCCGCGGGCCCGCGCCGGCCCCAGCGCCCCTCGGCGGGCCTGGGATCCCCCCCGAGGCCGAGCCGGCCCTCCTGGCTTTCCCAGCCCCTCAGCCCCCTGCACCCCGGTGCCTGCCCTTATCACCAGCGCCTTCACGAGCTGCCGAATCGCGAGGGGCAGGGGCTCAAGAATCAATGACCGGGTGGATGAGTGAGTGAGTGAATGAGGAATGGCCAGATGGATGAACGGGTGAGCGAATGGATGAATGGATGAACGAGCGAGTGAATGAGCAAGTGAATGAATGACTGAACAAGTGAGCGGATGAGCAAATCAATGGATGAACCAGTGAATGAGTGAATGAGCAAATCAATGGCTGAATGGATGAACGAGTGAATGAGCACATGAATGACCAAGTGAACAAGTGAGTGAATGAGCAAATGAATGACTGAATGAACGAATGAATGGGTGAGCGAGTGAGTGTCTGAGCAAATAGAGGAGTGACACCGAGTGAACGGCCGGGCCAGTGGGTGCGAATGAGTGGCTGAAGCTACAGCCACGGTATTCAGGGAGCCTTTCCCCAGCGTGTGCTCTACCTCAGTCAGTACAGACGCCATCATTCTGAGAAAGACACCAGCTGCTCCATCCAGAGCATGGCGAGAGGAAGGAAAGAGCACCAAGACTGCTCCTGAGACTCCAGGCGACCGAGTGAGGGCCACAACACCAGGAAAAAGGGCCCAAGTTAGGGAGCCCCCCCTCCCCACACAAGGCCTGCTGCTGTTCCAGTAATCCCCTTTTTCCCCCATTCAAACAGCCCTGGAGACCAGAGGTCACAGCGCTGTGGTGCCCTCCCCAGAGGAGCACACAGGCTGGGCTCAAGTGAGCAGAGGCACTAATTGGTATCAGGCACCAGCAGTGCCCCTGGGCCTCCTGCGTCTGAGCCAGCTGGGCTGGCTCGCAGCCTCAGGGGCCACCTGGAGGAGCTGGCTGGCAAGGGCCAGCCGTGTTTACCCTCCCTGGATGTGAGAGAGCCCTCCATCTCCAGCTGGTGGAAGCAGGAAGCAGACCTCCAGCCCCTCGGACACAGCCCAGCGCGCCCACCGCATGGGTACACAGGCAGCTCAGGAGTGGAAGGGCCTTGCCCAGGATCAGTCAGGGAGTGGCTAGACATTTCGGGACTTCAAACCTGCCCTGCTGTGCACCCCACAGCCACCCCTCCCTGGGTGACCAGGTGAACCCACATAGTTACCTAGGAAGTACCAGAGTATCACCCCCGCCGATGCCAGTGCCGCCAGGGCCAGCCACAGCGGCGCCAGGCGGAGGTAGTCCCGGGCCTTCTTCTTGGTGTCCTTGGTGCCCCTGAACATCCCCTCCGGCTCTGCTTCCTCTCCATCACCTCCATCGCCCTGTCCGCCTGCCGCCTGGCGGGCCTCAGCCCAGGGCATCCTGGTAGGAAACAGCAAAGCTAGGAGCCAGCCTGGCACTTTTTGATGGGGGCCTTTGCTGAGCTTTGGCCCAGGTGGGCCCAATCCCACCCTCACATCGCCCCCACCTTTCCCTCCCTGTAGCGCCTCTGACCCAATAGCCACAGACAGAAGTGGAGCACATGGGTAGAAGATTCCATCAGCCTGCCTCAGTTTCCCCTATGTGCACAGTGTGGCCAGTGGGCTCCTCATAGCACCTTTCCCTGGAGCCCTGAGCTTGCCCTGTGCCGGGCCAGCCTCTGTCTCCCCACTCTCTTAGTCTCTTGAGCCCGAGGAAGGGAACAAAAGCCAATGTCCGCTTTAATGACCTCATTAATCCATGAGTCACCCAGGGAAGCTAGGCTACTGTCCCCATGCGATCCTGTTCCTCAGCCTGGCACCTCAGACACCTTCTCCCATGTAAGCCTCCGAGTACCTCTGGGTGCTCTGCCTCTACCGAGGAAACTGGGCCAAGCGTATCCTAGCAACAGCGTGGTCCAGGGATTTCCTGGCCTCATCTTCCCAGTGTGGTCCTGAATTCTGACAGATGAAGAAGCTGAAGCCCAGAGAAGCTAAGTCTCTTGTTCAATATCACACAGCAACAGGTGAGGGTTGGGGGTTAGGAGCTGAGACAGGCTGCTGTCCACCCCATCATTACCACACATCCAGTGTACACAATGCCGCTTTGACCCCTGAGACTGCTTTGGGACAAGCCTTCAGAAGTGTGGGGACCCTTCCTAGGCCACTTGCTGCCAGGATCCCCAGACCCAGGGCCCCCAGCTAGTTAAGCTTCCTCTGTGGTGGCCCTTGATCCATCAACCTCATGTCTAGCCTTGGCCTTGCCTCTATTTGAGAAAGATCTGGCTGTAGCGGGTGCTGGGGACTCAGGCCTGTAACCATAGGTATCCAGGAAGCTGAGATCTGAGGAGCATGGTTTGAAGGCAGCCTGGGCAAGAAAGTTTGTGAGACTCTTTATTTCCAATTAAGCAGCAAAAAGTCAGAAGTAGAGCTGTGGCTCAAGTGGTAGAGCATTAGTCTTGAAAGAAAAAGCTAAGGGACAGCCTCCAGGCCTTGAGCTCAAGCCCTAGGGCACCTGGCAGATGCAGTAGTGCACCTCTGTAATCCCAGTACTCGGGAGTCAGAGGTAGGAAGATTGCAAGCTTAGGGCCAGCCTGGGCTATGTAGAAAGACCCTGTCTCAAATAATCAGCCTATGTCTCACTCAGCAAAGGGCCTGCCGCAGCATGAAGGATGGACGGCAGGTGGATGGCGGGGTCAGCCAGGACTGCGGTCCCAGGAACAGGGGTCTCTCCTGTAGCTCACTGCCTGCCGCCGTCAGGAAGCAGGCCTTGGGCCACCAAAGGAGTCCATCTCCTACCTCCCCAACTCCCCAGAGCCCCATGACTCCCACCATCACCCAGGCACAGCCTCTGCCTTCAACCCCAGTGGGCCGTCCAGACACGTTGCTGGTGAATTCCCACCTCACCTGGTGCCGGCTCCCAAGGCCTGCACGGCTCACCTGCTCCCATCCTCCTCAGCACAGGCCAGAAGAGCCCCACGTGTCTCCCGTCCCCTTCGCCGAGTCAACCTCTGCTCCCCACCCAACCGCCCCCATCCACCTCAGGTCCTTTGCACTGGCCATCCCCTCTGTCTGACATGTTTTTCCTTCAGTTTGCCTCAGGACCTGCACCTTTACTGTCCTTTGAGTCTTTACTCAAGTGTCTCATTTCCTAAATGGCCTTCCCTCACCACACTCCTCTATAAACTCACGCAACACACTATGGGCCCTGGGTCTTTGCCTGGCTGTTGTTGCTCAAGAGCAGCCTCTGCTCCATCCCCAGGGCGGAGCCAGGCGAGGAGCCGCCATGATGTCTGGGATGGATGAATGCTGAGACCCCAGTTCTGTCCTGCCTTTGCCTGAGGGCCCTGGGGTGACTACAGCTGACCACTTCTCCAGCCTCCTTCCTCCCCACCTTCATCTCCACTCAGTGACCTTGATCTTCTCTTTCTGCTGAAGTCCAACAGTGAGCTGGGCACTGGCGACTCACGCCTGTAATCTGGGTTACTCAAAAGACTGAGATCTGAGGATCAGGGTTCAAAGCCAGCCTGGGCAGGAAAATCCAAAAGACTCTTATTTCCAAGGAACCACCAACAATCCAGAAATGAAGCTGTGACTTAAGTGATAGAGCACCCATCTTGAGCAATAAAGCTAAAAGATGGTGCCTAAGCCCTGGTTCAAGCCCCAGGAATGTTGTACATGCACATGTATGAACGCTCACAGACATACCACACACACACACACACACACACACACACACACAGCAATGAAGAGGGCAGCATACTTTACAGGTCCAGAGCTGGTAGTCAGTCATGACACTTGCATCTGGAGTCCCCTAAGCTCCCCTCCACTGCAGACACTGAACTTAAAAATCCCTCTCCAAGCCGGGCGCTGGTGGCTCACGCCTGTAATCCTAGCTACTCAGGAGGCTGAGATCTGAGGATTGCGGTTCAAAGCCAGCCCGGGCAGGAGAGACTGTGAGACTCCTATCTCCAATAAACCACCAGAAAACCAGAAGTGGCACTGAAGCTCAAGTGGTAGAGCACTCGCCTTGAGCTGAAGAGCTGAAGGACAGCGCCCAGGCCCAGAGTTCAAGCCCCATGACCGACAAAAAAAAAAAAAAAAAAAAGATCCCCCTCCACATCCCTGCTTTGCCTGAGCAGCCCTTCTGACCCCGCCTACCCAGCTGAGGCCACGCCTCCTCCAGGTAGCCCTCCTACAGTTCCTGGGGCTGAAAGGGCCTGCCCCACCACTGCTGTTCACCCTGTAGGCATCCTCTCTGTCCCCAGACCCCGAGCCCCTGGAAGGAGGGACTGTGCCCCAATAGCAGTGGATATGGTCTCCCCTGACACCTACCCCTTACCCCATCGAGTCTTCTGACAGTGGATGGCCCCTAGGTCAATTTCACTGGGCTGAGGCTGCGCCAAGCTGGCACAGCACTTGGCACAGGCCACTCAGATGGAGATTCAACCATGTTGTGGGAAGTCCTGCTGTGTGCCAACCTTGGAACTGGCAGCGGCAAGACCAACCAAAACAAAAACCAGCAACAACAACAACAAAAACCCTTTCTGTTCACCTCCAGCAGCCAGGGCTGATTACTTTGCTGCTTCTTTTCAGTGATGGGGAAGCTGAGGTACAAGGGGGTGAATTCCTCTAGCCAGGGCCCAGCGGGCACTCTGGGAGCCCAGGAGGAGCTTGTCAGGCCGGTGCCTGGAGGGAGCTTGCTCTGAGCTGCCATCACTGGGTCTTGGGCATGGGGTGGGGGGAGAAATGGGGTGCTGGCTTTGGGGAAGGGTCCCTGGTACACACAGAAATCACAAGCTGCTAGGCACCGGTGGCTCACGCCTGTCATCCTAGCTACTCAGGAAGCTGAGATCTGAGGATCATGGCTCAAAGCCAGCCCCGGCAGGAAAGTCTGTGAGACTCTTATCTCCAGTTAACTACTAGAAACCAGAAGTGGTGCTGTGGCTCAAGTGGTAAAGCTGAAGAGATCAGGGACATTGCTCAGGCCCAGAGTTCAAGCCCCATGACCGACAGAAAAAGAAAGAAATCACAAGCCCACAGAAGTATGCACAGATCTAAGCAGTGCACACACACTTGTTTAAGACATTCAGACTCATTGCTGATGCCCCCGCCACATGCGTGGGTACACACACACACACACACGCACACACACACGGGCATACACACACATTGACACATGCCAGCTGAGCCTGCGAGTGAGACGCCCATGTGTAGGGCACACCTTAGTACCGTGTGAGACTCCAGGCCTGCCTCACAGCCCAGAAAGCCCAGAGGAGGCTGGTCATACGGAGGAAGAACAACATGTCCAGCACTGCAGGGCAGAAGGGTGGCCAGCCCAGCAATCAGCCTCTCTCTGCCCTCTAGCTCCTAACCCTCATCCCTCCAAGCCACCGGAAGCAGCCACTCAAATAGCTGAGCCCACTCAGCGCCTGCAGCCCCAATGCAGGCTCGGTGGGCCCGGCCGGCTCTGCGCGCAGGTCACCTGCAGGCCTTGCCTCAGCGCGGGCCCCCGCTCCTGGGAGCCAAGGCTAGCTCTTTGAGGGTTCTTAGGTCCTCATCCCCTCTCCTGGGTGGGGGGTCCCTGCTTACCTGTGGAAGTGGTGGGTGTGTGCCCGGCCTGCACGCAGGCCTCCAGTGCCTCTGTTTATCCAGGCCAAGGTCTCCCCACCCCCACCTGGCCTGCCCGGGCTGGATCAATGGCTCAGGGCCATGGCTGGGTGTCCAGCCCTTGTTCGGTGTGGCCTGTGGCCCCAAGCTCCATGGGTCTCCTGCTGGGTCTGGGACGGCACTGGGACCGGGTGCAGGTAAACAGGCAAGAGGCAGATGGCAGGCAGTGGCTGCCCCGCCCCTCTCCACCCCATGGGCAGGCAGGTGCGGGAGACCTGAGCTCTCCCCTGGGGCTGTTGCCTGGTGACATACCTGCCTGGTAACAGCCCCTGGTCCCCAAGAGCATGAGAGGGGGCAATGGAGGATTGGGGGTGCAGAGGCCCACACCGGTGAAAGCAGGGGTGCATGCTGATTCGCTGACCTGCTCAGGTGAGAGCAGAGGAGCCAGTGGCCAGACAGACAGACAGACAGACAGACAGAGGCAGGCCACGGTGTGTCTGTTTGGGGAATCTTTCAATTGCTAAATCATTCTAAAGTGTCCCACCATTGGATGGGGTCACTGGGCATGGGGACTCTTGGCCACTTGGGGCATGCCTGACCTGAGGCCGCGCTGGATTGTGGGTAAGATAGGTTGCCCAGTTTCCAAGCCCCTGGGCAGGAAAAAAAATGAATGACTGCCAGAATCGGTTTCACAGGGATCCAATGTGGAAATGGCAACATTGTGCTCTCTTGGGTTAGGCAGCTTATGGTTCAGAGGACTTTCACTTGTGCTTCTGTGTTTTCAATCGGCTGCTAAAG